CAGTTGTTTTTTTTACTACAGTATTTGTGCTACAGATTAAGATCTGGTAGACAATTAAAAAAAAATAGAAAAAGGAAAGAAAGAAAATGAGCCAAAATACAGAGAACAGAATATCCAAGAGGCAGAAAACAGCAATGTTCTAAATCCACCTTAACAACAATGCAGCACAATGGCAATTACAAAGTAGCATGCTACAACCCACAACTTAGACACAGCGCATAGCAACACTCAGTGCAGGCACTAGAAACAATTTAGAAAATATAGCAACCATTGAAGCAAATTTTAGCATCATATAGTCACGTTCACACAGCAGCAGAATACGGTTGTCAGTCCTGTACTTGAGTCCTTAATACGGTTACGTTCACACACAGTTATCAATACTTTACACCTCTGCGGTTAATGAAGATTTGACGAAATAACTCGTCGTGTCAGAAAGTGATAAGACTTTCAGTCTTATGCACGTCGCCATCTTTGATTTTCCTTTGGTCACTGTCGCTATGGTTACTGGTAAGGAATATGTGCTTGATTCCCGTTGCACTGTAAGCTGCTGCTGCATTTCGAGACTCACACCAGAGAAAGCCAACCTACTGATCTGCTATTTATGCTTATTATTATTATTATTATTAGCTTTATATAAGAAGATATATTTAGCCTATAGCCTATAGCTTTCAAGCTAGAACCGCCAAACTCAGCACAGATCTTTCAGACTGTTCTGACTTTAGTGTGGTTTGTATCTATCTATCTATCTATCTATCTATCTATCTATCCTGACTATTTTTCTTTCTTTCTTTCTATCTATATCCATGTATCTTAGCGACATACTAATCATGCTAGAAACATGCTAGCGATATGCTAGTAACTTGCTAATCATGCTAACAACATGTTAATCATGCTAGAAACATGCTAGCGACATGCTAGTAACTTGCTAATCATGCTAACAACATGTTAATCATGCTAGAAACATGCTAGCGACATGCTAGTAACTTGCTAATCATGCTAGAAACATGCTAGTCACTTGCTAATCATGCTAGCAACATGCTAGTAGCACGCTAATCATGCTAGTTACTTGCTAATCATGCTAGCAAAATGCTAATTATGCTAGTAAAATGTTAATCATGCTAGAAAAATGCTAGCGACATGCTAGTAACTTGATAATCATGCTAACAACATGTTAATCATGCTAGAAACATGCTAATGACATGCTAATAACTTGCTAATCATGCTAGAAACATGCTAGTCACTTGTTAATCATGCTAGCAACATGCTAGTAGCACGCTAATCATGCTAGTTACTTGCTAATCATGCTAGCAAAATGCTAATTATGCTAGTAAAATGCTAATCATGCTAGAAAAATGCTAGCGACATGCTAGTAACTTGATAATAATGCTAACAACATGTTAATCATGCTAGAAACATGTTAGTAGCACGCTAATCATGCTAGCAACATGCGTGTAACATGCTAATTATGCTAGTAACATGCTAATCATGCTAGAAACATGCTAGTCACTTGCTAATCATGCTAGCAACATGTTAGTAGCACGCTAATCATGCTAGCAACATGCTAATTATGCTAGTAACATGCTAATCATGCTATAAACAGGCTAGCAACATGCTAGTACCTTTTGCTAATCATGCTAGAAACATGCTAGCATCTACATTTTCAAACGTCAAGCTTTTACAGCTGCTTTAAACTTTGACAAACTTTTTTATCTAGTTCCGTACTGCTCTGTAAACACAGATTATACCATATATGGTAATATAACCCTGGCCAATTTCACAAACCAGCTGTATAATCTGACACATGCTATCTAAAGAAATAGTGTGATGAATGTTGACTGTGTGCCAAACTGCACATACCTCCAAAGATGCACAATCAAGAGTGTTTAAAAAAGCAGTTTAACTTGCTTCATCCTTGGCATTTCCCAGGTCAGAATATTTTACATTAGATTTCCATTACATTTACATTTAGTAGATGTTTTATCCAAAGCAACTTGCAAATTAGGAAAAACAATAATAGCAGGGCTGCAATACCTAATTAGAAGTTCTTCGTTCTTTTCTGTGCCCCTATACTTTTTTTCTCCTGGTAATATTTATGACAATAATATTGATTTATGATTATGGATTAGGTAAATGTCAATGGAAAAATAAACCAGGAAACATTTTCCTGATAAAGGTATTTAACCTCAGGATGCTATAATGAATATTTACACACTGAGAAAACTGTTTCTAACGCATTAAATATGGATATTTTAATAGCATTGATTCGCTACAGGTGGCATTAATTCATCTCCTGGAGCCGTGTGAGGCACTTTTTATTATGGATGGATGCGCTTTATTGGACTTCTTTTGGACTGGTGAAAGAAAACACCCGCCCATGCCATTATAAAGCTTGGAAGAGCCAGGACAGTTTTTAATATAACTCCGATTGGATTCGTCTGAATGAAGAAAGTCATGTACACCTAGGATGCCTTGAGGGTGAGTAAATCATGGGGTAATTTTTAGGTTTTTATGACAGGTGCTCTTTTATAGAGAAATGTACTAGCTTTTATATGGCAGGTGTGACACGTTAGTTGAAAAACAGCACTCTTAAAAATAAAGGTGCTTATCGATGCCACAGAAGCACCCTTTTGTCTAAATGGTTCCATAAAGAACATTTAACATCTGAAGAACCTTTCTGTTTCACAAAAGGTATTCAACTTAATTCCAGTCCAGTCTTGCCAGTTAAATCTTTTCTTTTACTCAATCAATCTGTAATTTGTTGGTTAAAACTCAAAGGCTTATGAACACATGTTTCTATTAACAGGAAGGCTTTGGATTCACTGCAGAATAAGCCGGAGTGTAAGCTGAGGACCATATAGGAGTGATTTGTCTAATTCTCATATTCAGGCAAGTATAAATCTATGCGTAGATTTGCATGATATAAAATTATTGTTGTTATTTTTGACCTATTCTTCACTGCATAATATAAAATTGTGGTTGAATGTTTTAGATCATTGTTTTAATATCACAAATTGTGTCTGTTCATTTACAGGGTGACCTAGCTCTCATGACGAGCTGATACAGTGGACACTTGAGGTGTGGGGAGGAAGACAGACTGATGGTTTTCATGTTGGTTCATGTTTTTTTTCTATATTTTATACCTCCTGGGGTCGAAACTGTGTATGGTGCAGTAAATGCAGTTCATGTTGGTAATGGTGATTGAATTGTATTACAGAACAGCAGACGCTTGAAGTAGCATTCAGTCATACTTTATTTTGTATATTTTCAATAGACCAAATATTACCTGTGGAGGTATGCATGTTTTGTTGATTAATGTCACTTTTTATGAGGCTTTACTGAATGCACCTTTAAAAACATGTGTCCAGACTCTAGTAGGTTATGTGAATGCGACTGATTCACTTTTATTAATGTTGATAAAATAAAGAGTTGAATTGTATTTTAGTAGTGTGATTTGTGATAAAGGTATAGACCAGAGGTCTCAGCTCTGGTGCTCGAGGTCCATGTCCCTGCAGAGTTTAGCAACCTGTAACTTTCTAGTAATCCTGAAGTCCTTGATGAGCTTGTTCAGGTGTGTTTGATTAGGGTTAGAGCTAAACTCTGCAGGAAAGTGGCCCTCGAGGGCCAGCGTTACGAACAGTTTTGAGATACAGTTTATGTGGTTATATTAATTAAAAAAAATTAGCAATGTTTACATAATCATAGGGAGTAATATATATTCATAAAACTATGTAAATGGGAAATCTCAAACAAAAAAATATATAATAAAATCTACTTACTTCAGTAAATAGAAGTAAGATTTACGTAATATTTTGATAAATGCAAGGTTCCTGTCTATAAAATAATAAATAAACGTTATTTAATTTCTTTAAATAAACACAACTTTTAAATAAAATATAATTAAGTAATATTTACTTAATTAGAGTGCAATTAGATTTAATTTCTTCATGAATGTTAAGTTTATTAGTAAGTAGATTTTACTTAATAATAGCAAGTATCCTGTGTAGAGATGGAGATTATTTTTCCTGTTATTGGAATATACATTTTCTTATTGAGACTTCTGTACTTGTCATTTTTTTCATAATGCTTTTTAAAAATTGGTGATATTGTGTTTGCATATGCATATGCATAAAGTATGGTGAATATAGCCTAATACATATGTCCGAGATTACAACGTGACCTGTCCCAGACGATCAAAATCAAGCAGATTGTTTTTGTTTTGGCACAAAAACACTAATAGGTGTGGCATGTCTCCTCTGGGTGTCATATCTACATTCTTTCTTCTGGTGTGGGTAAAAAACATCTTAGGGATTTCAGAAAAGTCTAATGTGTTAGATACCGTGAAAATGACCGTGAATTTAACGGTAAAAGACTGTAAAAATGCTACAGTAAAAACCTGTTAAATGGTTAACGGTAAATTCCCCTACTATATACGGTGAAAAACTGTATTGGACATTACATGTATCAGACATTAATTTTTATTATTTAAAAGCTGCTTGTGATGGGCTTTGGTTCATCACGTGACTTTCATCACCTCCTGCATTTGGTGGTTATCAGTGTATTATAAAGCTACAAAACAGATTTCAGTACTTTAATAGGTTGGTATATAATAAAATTTTATCAGTTAATGAAATTACAGTATTTAACTGTAAATTTAAGTTAAAACCGTAAAACCTAAAACGGTGCTACCGTATTTTTTACGGTAAAATTCCGGTAACCACAGCTGCCGGTTTTTTACCGTAAATTTTACGGATTTTTTTTTACAGTGTAGATATCAAAATAAAGTCAAAATTGCAAAAAATGTCCCAGATTACCCGAATGCACCCTATCTGACGAGATATATCTTCGTGACTGGTACAAATCGGATTTCTTTTCTCAATTCAGCAGCCAAAAGTTAACTGCAGACCCTGCTCGGCTCTCCGCTTGTGATTCGTGCGCGTGCGTCGTGGATACGCTGATGACAGAGAGCGGCGAGCGGAGAGCGACGCGCCGGTATTTATCAACGCTGAGATGACCTACCGAGCACCGAAGCGTCTCGCGTCTCGCGTCCGCGGATTCTGAGGGCAAATAACCGCGGAGGAGCGCATCCGAAGCGGCTCGGGTCGTTGTTTCACTGCGCGGATCGAAAACTACATCCATCCATCCATCAGTCGCGGAGCGTGAGATGACAAAGGTGGGTGAGAATACAACCGGCTACCGTATTGCTTTATCACCGTCAGTGGCCTGGATTGACAGCACACCTGTCTCCTAACACATCCTAATATTAATACCCAGGCTGTTTATGATGTATTTACATTGCTCTGTTCTCATGCCTGGTGCGTTTGCAGCAGAAAGAAAACGCGTCGCGTCGGCGTCCCCTCATTCACCTTTCTGATTTACAGTGATGACCAGCTGATTTATGCATATTGATTTCATTGATATGCATGCTATATGTAAGGTTTTAAGTGACAGATTTACCTGTGAGGACGTGTTTGGCCAGCCAGTTTCATTCAGGATCTATACATCTGACATCAGCTAGTTGATTTGAATGAATATAATGATGTTTATTCCAGTTTTACGCTTTAAAATGTTAGTTTAGCATTGGAATATCTTTATAAGGCTTGTTTAGTGTGGTGTGAAAGCTTGTGGGGTTTTGTGTGTGTGTGTTCAAAAAGTTTCCTGTTTAAAGCTGCTATTATGGTTCAAAGCTTATTTTGGTACAATGGTTTACAAGAGTTCAATTTTGTTGAAATGATTTAGCATTGAAATATATTGAAAATAGCTCTTGTTCTGTCCAGGCTGGACTATTGCAATGCTCTCTTGGCAGGTCTTCCAGCCACTTCTATCAAACCTCTACAATTAATCCAAAATGCCGCTGCAAGATTCATCTTTAATGAGCTGAAACGAATGCACGTCACACCTCTGTTCATCAGTTTGCACTGGCTACCAATAGCTGCTCGCATTAAATTCAAGGCATTAATGTTTGCCTACAAAACCACCACTGGCTCTGCACCCACTTACCTAAATTCATTACTTCAGAGTTATGTACCCTCTAGAAGCTTACGTTCTGCAAGTGAACGGCGTATTATTGTGCCATCTCAAAGAGGCACAAAATCACTTTCACAGACTTTTACATTAACTGTTCCCTCCTGGTGGAATGACCTACCCAACTCAATCCCAGCAGCTGAGTCCTTAACCATCTTCAAGAAATGACTAAAAACACATCTGTTCCACCTTTATTTGACCCTCTAACTCTAGCACTTTCTATTCTATTTTAATTCTACTTTATCTATATTTATCTTCTTTTTTTATTTAAAAAAACAAACACTAGCTTTCGATTTTTTTCTATTCTATACTTGTTTTTCTTTGTGTGTGTGTGTATAATTAATATATATATATATATATATATATATATATACACACACACCTTGCTACATGTACTGCTGTTAGGCTAGTACTTGTCACTTGCCACTTGCACTTATATATTGTTGCTCTTTTGTTAGTTTTGACTGCTTTTATTGTCCTCATCTGTAAGTCGCTATGGATAAAAGCGTATGCTAAATGACTAAATGTAAATGTATAAAAGCCAAAGGCTTGTTTAGTGTGTGTTTTTGTGTTCAAAACGTTTTAAATCTGCTATTATGATTCAAAGCTTATTTGGTATAATGGTTTACAAGAGTTCAGTTTTGTTGAAAATGAAAAATGGAAAGCTGTTCCATCCTCGAATGCTTTTATCAGTTGCTTTATTTCCATTTAACATTAGCGTGAAGTGTGAAACAGGGTTGTCACTTTGTGATTTGCCATTCAAATGGCTTTGAGTAGTCACGCCAGTCTTTAGCACATCAGGCTTGTGTGGCATGAGCTGATCTGATCTGCTTCGTGTTTATCTTTCTCTGTTTGTCCTGCTGTTCCTTATTTCCCCCCTCAGAATATGATTAATCTGTTTTAGCACGGCAGATAATCGCTTGATTTAGAGGCTCAACATCATCTGGTGGAACAAATGCAAGAAATACAGAGAGGTAATAATAAAACAACACTCTTATAAAGAAAGGTGCTTCAAAAGGTTCTTCACAGCGATGCCATTGAAGAACCATTTTTGGTTCCACCAAGCACCATTCAGTCAAAGGTTCTTTAAAGAACCATCTCTTTCTTACCTTTTTATAATCTGAAGAACCTTCTTTTTCTACAAAGAAGCTTTTGTGAAACAGAAAGGTTCTTCAGATGTTAAAGGTTCTTTATGGAACCATTTAGACAAAAAGGTTATTCTATGGCATCGTGAAGCACCTTTATTTTTAAGAGTGAAGATAGTTATAAAATCTGAAAAATCTGAGTTCCTGAAATCGGAACTTGAATTTGAATCTTAATTGCGGATACAATTTTGATGAAAAAATTAGGCTTTTTTAAAGAGTTTATAGAAAGAGAAAACGTTTGTAAGAATCGTATCTAACCAGGAAAGAAAAAGTTGATATTTAACTTACGATTTGAATCCAGTAATCAATACACAGTGGACAGTGAGATGGCTCTAGACTAACCTGCTCTCCAGAGGTCTTGCTTGAGCTGGATCATAATCCCATGTTTTAGCACGGCAGATAATCGCTTGATTTAGAGGCTCAACATCATCTGGTGGAACAAATGCAAGAAATACAGAGAGGTAATAATAAAACAACACTCTTATAAAGAAAGGTGCTTCAAAAGGTTCTTCACAGCGATGCCATTGAAGAACCATTTTTGGTTCCACCAAGCACCATTCAGTCAAAGGTTCTTTAAAGAACCATCTCTGTATCTAACCAGGAAAGAAAAAGTTGATATTTAACTTACGATTTGAATCCAGTAATCAATACACAGTGGACAGTGAGATGGCTCTAGACTAACCTGCTCTCCAGAGGTCTTGCTTGACCTGGATCATAATCCCAGTGTCTTTTAGCAGATTTAGTTTACCAGCATATTAGATGAACACCAGTTTGAACCTAAAACACTGTTTTCAGCAGCAGAGAGAGTCTGATTATTAAAGAAACAGTTCACCCAAAAATGAAAGTTTGCTGAAAATGTACTCATCCTCAGGCCGTCCAAGTTGTAGATGAGTTTGTTTCTTCATCAGATTTGGAGAAATGTAGCATTGCATCAGTGTCTCAGCAATGGATGCTCTGCAGTGAATGGGTGCCGTCAGAATCAGAGTCCAAACAGCTGATAAAAACATAACAATAATCCACAAGTAACCCACACCACTCCAGTCCATCAGTTAATGTCTTGTGAATCTAGAAGCTGCGTGATTTTAAGAAACAAATTAGTAACTAAAACCATTGCTTCTGGAAAAAATACAAGTCTGTAATCCATAAAATTGTGTTCTGCAGTAGAAAAAGTTGTCTCATCTGAATCAGGAGAGAAATATGCACACATCAAGCACCGTTTACAAGCCAAAGCCGTTCTAAACAAATTTGTGGGTGGATTTTGATGTGAGAGGACAACAGGGATTGACTTAAAGGAAGATTAATTATGGATCATGGACTCATATTTGAGCCAGAAGCAACTGTTTAAAGTTAAAACATCTTAATGATGGATTTGTTTCTTACAAACATGCAGCTTTTCACTTCACAAGGCATTAACTGATGAACTGGAGTGGTGTGGGTTACTTGTGGATTATTGTGATGTTTTTATCAGCTGTTTGGACTCTCATTCTGACGGCACCCATTCACTGCAGAGCATCCATTAGTGATGCAATGCTACATTTCTCGAAATTGTTCCCATGAATAAACAAATTCATCTACGTCTTGGATGGACAAAACTCTGGTTAATAAACACTCTTCGTTTTGGTTGGTGAATGAAATTGTGCAGCTTTCGATTTGTTTTGACCAGTTGGAGCCACCTTATAAGCAACTCTTCCCTAGTAGATTGAACAATGGCAATATGTTACTTGCCATTTCTTTGTAATTGTGAATTTGACCAGCAACTTCTAAGTGAAAATTGTTTCCACACCAGTTTCTTTTTCAATGCTGGTTTAAGAAAATTTAAATTGACCAAATAGTTTGTTGCCGCTTGACTTGATTAGACCAAACATAATTACAATCTTGGTGCTTTAATATCGCATTACTACAGTAATATATCTTGAAGCAGCTTTGTTTGTGAGAGTCTGATCGCCACTCTCCCTGAAAGTCAATAGGAGAACGTGTGTTCAGCTGAGATCAATTACATGATTCTCTTGCATTATTAATAGACCCTTCAATTGGTGCTAATCTAGTCTGACGGGGCAAAGTACTGCGACTCTCTAAAATGACATTTACGGGATAGATTTAGATCTTTATCAGTTTTTAAACATTAGGCCAATAATAATTACCAATTGAAATGAGGCCAATCAATGTGATATCAAGTAGTGCTGTCAAACGATTAATCGCATCCAAAATAATGTTTCTTTTGCATAATATATGTGGGTGCGCTGTGTATATTTATTATGTATATATAAATACACACATGCATGTATATATTTAAGAAAAATATGTTACGTTTATATATTAAATATATTTATATATGATATAAATTATATGAATGTAAATATACATGTAAATATTTTCAAAAGATATGCTGTATGTGTGTGTATTTATATATACAGTACATAATAAATATACACAATAAACAAACATATATTATGTAAACAAAATCTTTTATTTCAGATGCGATTAATCGCGATTAATCGTTTGGCAGCACTAATATCAAGGCTGCATTGCTCCTGATTATTCTTGCATGTATTCTGGGCACTTGAGAAGGTAAGGTGCGATGCGAGACGGTCTACGGCGCGTCTGGTTGCTCGTCTGCTCTCGTGTTTCTACTGAATGTGTTGGCATTTAAAGTGGGAATCTGATTAGATCGCCTGTGATTAAATATTTACCGGTGGCTTCTCCACTGCCCCACAGAAAAGTGAAAGCAGGAAAGTGTGTGTTTTGCTTGCATGCATCTGTCTGCCTGCTCGTGTGTGTGTGTGTGTGTTTGTGGGATTAATTTACTGCACTCATTAAACTCGCCATGTTTTCTCTGCATCCCCTTTGGTTTCCCTGGTCGCAACCTTTTCCGTGACCCTCACGTTAATTTTCCTCTGAGGATGCTCGCTGCTATTCTTGTGTGTCTTTTCATCTGTGACTCGCTCTCGTCCTCATTTTCTTCCGCTTGACTTTTAATGTCTGTTTTGCTTTATCAGGGAGCTGC